ATATATTTTTATTTATTTCTAGGAGAGAGAGAGAGAAACAGCGTGAGCAGGGGAGGGTCAGAGAGAGAGGGAGTCACAGACTGAAACAGGCTCCAGGCTCTGAGCTGGCAGTCAGCACAGAGCCCGACGCGGGGCTCGAACCCACGAACCGCGAGATCATGACCTAAGCGAAAGTCGGACGCTTAACCGACTAAGCCACCCAGGCGCCCCTCCTGTCACAACTTTTTAATCTGAGTTGAGGCAAGATTTAGATACAATTTCTACTTTAAAGGAAGCACAGGGCATAGAAGGACTCAATACCATGAGATAAGAGTCAGATAAATCCAGAATGTAGGACAGGGTACAAGGTGTGTGTGTGTCAGAGAGAGAGAGAGAGAGAATGAAACAAACAAACAAAAAATATGTAATAGTCTGAACCACCAAATGAAATGCATGAAATTTAACTGGGTTCCTACTTGGAAAAAGCAGTTACTAAAGACAATTTGGGGTAACTGGGGAAGCTTTACTGTAGACAGGTTCCTAGTTGACACATGAGTAGTACTGTTCATCTTCTGGGGTGTGACAATGGCACTGTGGTTTTAGAGGACAATGTCTTTATTTTTAGGAGGTACATGTTAATAGGATAAAAGGCCATGATGTCTAAACTCTTTTAAATAGTTCAAAAAGAAAAAAAGCTCACACTCACACAGACATTACAAATACTACACATACTATTAGCCATTTCTAGGGGCACCTGGGTGGCTTAGTCATTAAGCATCTTACTTTAGCTCAGGTCATGATCTCGTGGTTTGTAAGTTCAAACCCTACGTTGGGTTCTCTGCTCTTATCACAGAGACCACTTCGGACCTCTGTCCTCTCTCTCTCTACCCCTCTCCCACTCATGCATGTGTTCGCTATTTAAAATAGACATTAAAAAAAAAATCTTAAGAAAAAAGTTAACCATTTCTGAATCTGAATTGTCTATTTGAGTGTTCATTATATTAATGCTTTCAACCTTCCTATTTGTTTAGAAGTTTTCATGATTCAAAAAGAGAAGGAAAATTAAATTCTGGCAAATAAAAACATTACACTTGTACTAACAAATGTCTTAGTAGTCTCTGGCCACAGTTGTTTTGTGGGATGGGTCATGAGATGGCTTGGTCAGGAGAGACCGGAGTTCTACTAAGTCATTCTTAGGACATCAAGAATCTCAAAATTCTTTTGAGAAACCAAAGTGTGACCTTACTTGGGAAGACCAAGCCTTTGGAAAACCACCTACCCTACCTAAACTCATACCATAACAAGTTCAGTTCATGAATTACAAGGGTTGTGTCCCCATTCAGTGAGAAGGCCAACTCAGGAAACTAGAGGAAGATCACAAGGCCATGTTCGGGATGGAAAGATTAGAGGGTAGGAACTGGGTGTGCCCAAGCTGAATGGTCAGCACATCCCTGGGCAGATCCCTGGGCAGTGGGACAGCTGCCCTGCCCCTGCCTTCCGGCCACCCCCCTTGATGTTCCAGCTGCCTTTTGATTACATCTCATTAAGTCTCAGGAACAGGGAAAGCTCACACTTCCTTTATGAACACAGCATGATTTGATCTTAAGGAGTCAGGAGGGTTTGTGTGTAGCTTCCTTCTCTCTACAACTTAAGTTTGTCTTTGGTAGGCTTCTGTCAACAGAGACCTGACAAGCCATCAGCATCCCTGCTGTACTTCCTTTGTGTCCTTCTTTCCCTACCCCAAACCACTTCACTGGAAAGTCTTTCCTTTTGCCTTCTGAAGTTGGCTTCCTTGGCACTGGGACTCACCATGGCTTTCCGGTCTTCCTCAGCCATCTTGAGGCGCTTCTGAGCCTCTTCATAAGCCTAGGAGAAGAAACCAAGAGTGAAGCGCTGTGAGGCCAAAATCTCCCAAAGCCACAGCCACTCCCCCTCTAGAATCACAAGGTTCTGATATACCATAGCATAAAGAAATGTCCCGTCTCACTGGGAATCTCTAGGGTTACAGGTTCAGCAGAGGGTCGCCTTAGCCAAAGCACCCAGAGGGGTCCTCTTACAATACAGATGAATACCACCAGAGGCCATTGCTGGTCTTCCCAAAGATTACTATCTCTGCAGTCACACCTGACCAGGAATATTCCTGAGGATTTACAAAACATGCTGTTCCTATGTACCTTCTTGTCTGACCGCTCCAGGACATTGCGAGTCCGGTCCTTGTCCCGCTGCCGAACCCTCTCAGCGAAGGCATCACGTTCTTCAAGGTCCTGAAGGCGTTCTCGCTCAGTCCGCTCCCACTCATCCTCCGACTCTGGCTTCTCAGTCAGCTGTTTACTCCCCCTGCAGCTCAGCCCAAAGGATCACATAAGGCCCTAGAAGGTTTATCACCCCATCATCTCCTGCCCCATCCTTTCTCACCTTGCTTCTGACTTACCCTGTCTTTCTCTTCCCCTTCTCAGAAACCTCTTCCTCTTCTTCTTCCTCCTCATCCTGATGTTTCTTCCGGAGGTGTTTCCGTTTTTTACGCTTCTTCTGGAGACTGCTCCCAGCTCTACCTACAGTCTCCTCACTGCTCTCCTCACTGTCTTCCAGCAACTTATAGGATCGATTCTTCTCTAGCAGGGCTCGAGCCTCTCTCTCTGCCACTCGAGCTGGCTTTTCTACCACTGCCTTCCGTGGTACCTATCAGTAGGAGGGAAGATAATGGGATGTGAGCAACTCCTGATCTCTGCCCGTCAACTTTACCCCAAATTTAAGGAATGACCTAAACTTAAACCAGCCTTCATTGTCTCTCTTCCCAATGGCTTTACACCACGTTTATCAGCCTGAGTGAAGTATCTCAGTTTCTGAACTTCCTTGTAGTAATTCACTTAACATTTATTGAAACCTGTTCAATACATCAGGTACTTGCTAAGTACCAATACAGGAATAAACAAAAGACAAAAATCCCTGCCTTTATGGAGTTTATTTTGCATTCTCACAACCAATTCTCAATTGCTCAGCCTGTTCTTCCTCATGATTCAGTCATTCCAATGCAAGGACTGACATGCTACAAGCATTGATTTGCAGAGGCCTGTCATCTGTCTGGCACTGTACCAAATTCTAGAGATGCTAAACGGATTAACATAAATCACTTACCCTCATATCACTTACATTGGGTAAACTCGTCTCTCACCAGGCACCATATGTGACAACTAAAGCAGACTATTTGCCATTCTAGGAACATGCCAAATACCTTCACTCTTCCATATACCTGTTCTGAAAAGTGCTGTCAGGTGGGAGAAGTAAAGACAAGAAATACACAGTCCTGGGGCACCTGGGTGGCTTGGTTGGTTAAGCCTCCAACTTTGGCTCAAGTCATGATCTCACGGTTAGTGGGTTCGAGCCCCCCGTCCGGCTCTGTGCTGACAGCTAGTTCAGAGCCTGGAGCCTGTTTCAGATTCTGTGTCTCCCTCTCTCTCTGACCCTCCCCTGCTCATGCTGTCTGTCTGTCTCTCTCTCTCTGAGAAATAAATAAAACATTAAAAAATTAAAAAAGAATAAATTTAAAAAAAAAAAAAGAAAGAAATACACAGTCCTGTCCTCCATAAGCTCATCTTTACTCCTTTCCCCTTGTGTGACAAATTTTAATGAATCTTTGGGCCTGCATTCCCTGATCATTTTTTTTTTAATAGCTTTATTTATTTCTAGGGGGGGGAGAGAGAGAGAGAGAGAGAGAGAGAGAGACAGCATGAGCAGGGGAGGGTCAGAGAGAGAGGGAGTCACAGACTGAAACAGGCTCCAGGCTCTGAGCTGGCAGTCAGCACAGAGCCCGACGCGGGGCTCGAACCCACGAACCGCGAGATCATGACCTGACCTGAGCGAAAGTCGGACGCGTAACCGACTAAGCCACCCAGGCGCCCTGCATTCCCTGATCATTACCCCTACCTTTCTCTGCTCTTCCACAGCACTTCCATCTTAAAAAAAATTTTTTTAATGTTTATTTATTTTTGAGAGCCAGAAAGAGAGACAGAGCCGGTGGCGGGGGGGGGGGAGGATGGGCAGAGAGGGAAGAAGGAGACAGAATCCGAAGCAGGTTCCAGGCTCTGAGTTGTCAGCACAGAACCGGTGGCTGGGTTCCAACACATGAGCAGGGATATCATGACCCGAGCTGAAGTCAGGGGCTTAACCAACAGCCATCCAGGTGCCCCAGCACTTCTCTTCTATAGCCTCGCTATTCAAAGTGTAGTATTTGGACCATCGGATTCACCCGGAAACTAGTTAAAAATGCAAAAATTAAGATCCCACCCCATAACTAACAAATTGGAATCTGTTTAACAAGAGTCCTGGATGAATCTCTGCATATTAAAGTTCGAGAAACACTGTTTTTTGTTTTTTTTTTTTTTAAATTTCTGAGAGAACTGAGCCACCCAGACGTCCCGAAACACTGCTCTATAGCACTTAACCCTCCTTGAACTTCTCACCAGAGCTGGACGTTCAGCACTTAGCACAGTATCCTGGGGACAACGGACAAAGCAAGGTGCTCCTCACTGAGCTTACTTAATTCCCGTAGGGACAGTTAGCCCAGCCTCACCTGAACAAATAACCTGGGGCCCCTCCCCTGCTCCACCTCCTCTCCCGCCGCTCCCACGCTGGGCCCCGCCCCACCCCTTCCGACACCTTGTTCCAGAGTCTCAGGGCGAAGTCCCGGGCCGGCCCGCTGAGGTCCAGGGTATCGGTGTCTCGGAGGCGCTGCACGAACTCCTCAGCCGAGGCGCAGCGCCGAGCGGTACCGATTAGAAACTGGGCTACGTGCCGCTCGCTCAACCCCAACACCGAGTGCAGCTCGTCCTGCACCCAGCGCTCCAGCCCAGCCGGCGTCGCCATGGTGACCCACGCTGCCCCGTTCCTGGCCCTGAATTTTCTCGAACAGCCACGCTGGCGGCCGTCCCGTCGGAGGCCTGGAGGCCTAGGCTGAAGTCTCGGCTTCGCAAAAGACCTGCCTTAGGACTGTGAGGTTTGGTTTCCGACAGGCCCAAACCGTCTTCCGGGACCACTGAGGCCGGAAGCAGCCTATCATTTCCTGTCTTAGCACTACGGTAGCCGAGCGAGTTCAAACCTCGGGGAACCGCGCCTGAAGCTCGGGGTAAAACGTTTTATTTCCGTCTCTGCTAAGTGGTCTCCTGATGGTCAGTCTGTGGATGCCTCTCTCACTTATTCATTCAACAAATGCTATGTGCTAAGCCCAATTTAATTGGTGGAGATATGGCAAAGAACTAATCAGAAAAAATCCCTTACCGAAGGAAGGGGCGAAGACCAGATACATAAAAAAACATGTTAAGGCCTGTGGAGCCAAAAAATAATGCAAGGTTTGTGGGGGGTGGGGGGGGGGAGATTCTATTTCAGATGGAGGATCAGGTCCATGCTGATGAAAGATTAGCCCATGCTGATTAGGAGTAACCTTTACTAGTACTGGTGCCTGCAGCAGGAATGAATACAGGTTAGGCATAAGCGAGGAACTTCAAGCAGGAAGAAACAGGGTTTGGGGGGAAAAACAAAGGCGCCCTCTTTTCTTGGTGCTGTCTTAAAGTTATTTTTTAAAATCTCCAAACTAAGGAATGTGTACACTATGTTCTACATTTTTCCTAACCGCTTGAGGAATTCACTGGTGGCATTTAAATAAAAAAATAAGTAGAACTTGTTACCTTACTCTCTGCTTATCTGACATCGGTTTGACTACCCATACTATTATGAATAATATAATCATACTATTATGACTAACTGGACTGATCAGACACTAATGTTGGGAAATGAAATACTATTCCAACAGCCACAGGTAGCTCCTTAGCATGGACTTCTTAGATGCATTGTTTTCTGTTTCTGAGATGGACTTTGAGCATCTCAGAGCTTCCTGCCTCTGCTTTCCTGGGTTACAGCAGATTAGGATCTTTACTTAATTAGCTACTAATATAAGCGTTGTTTCCCTCTATACTCACACCCTCTCTAAATTGGCTCATTGTTCAAACACCTTGCTTGTTCGTTTTGCTAGTCAATTGAAAACCTTTGGTATACGTTTAAGATCACTTTGTCTTACTTATTATTAGACAGTTGAGGTGCATTGTTTGTCACCCCACACCCTTGCAATTCAGTTGTGAACCACTAGAAGGAACAAAATTAAATAACTGAATGGGGGTACAGGGTCTTACTTATTTTTGTATTTAGTAAAAGGGAGTCTCCTCTGACTAGGCTGAGAAAATTCCCATAATAGTAGGACTATAACTACTCAAATATGTCTTTACTACCTTAGCAAATGGGGGGGGGAGGGGAAGACCTGATAAGGAGACTGTATAGGTCTTCCACATTTGTAGAAGACAGAAATTCTTTGAAATGCCAATATTAACTATACTTGGGCAACAAAGCCATGAATTATCAATGGCTCTTAAACCTTTAGGTAAAAAAACCCATTGTCTGTCAGAGACTTTTTCAGCAAACTGCAGTTCTGTACATACACTATATTTTGCAGCAATTTTAGCAAGTCTTGAAGTAAATGCCCCTGGACTAGCCAGTGTTATACATGAGGTGGCTGCTTCTAGCAGGCTTCTAAATACTGGAATCCTTCAATTCGGAGTGTCCTCTGCTTCCAATATTTTAGCTCTTTTCATCTATTCTTATATTCGTTCAGTCATTCACTGTAGTAATAGTTTTGTGAGGCCTGGGCTGCTTCATTAAACCCAACTGACATCGTTTGCCCTTGTGGCACTTCCAGTTTAGTGGATTCTTCTGTCCTTCCTCAAACCAGTCTTCTTCCTGCTAGTCCTTTGAGAAACAGATACAGGGCTCTCCCAGAGCCCTTTCTTCATGTCAGTGTTGAGTTCCTGTTTCACTTCCATCATTTTCCCTTCCTGCAGCCATAGCCACTACCTCTTCAAGACCAATAGGAAGATGGGATAGGCTTGAAATAAGGAACACAGAGCCTCTCCCACACATACTTTTTTTCTAAAGAAGGAAAAGCAGCCAGAGAGTTGGAGAGATCTCCATTTTATTATGGAAAACTTAAAAAACAAAACAAAAAAACCCAGGCAGTTGATAAGGAAGGAGAAATGGGGGAGAAGAGTTGAGGTGCATTGTTTGTCACCCCACATCCTTGCAATTCAATTGAGAACCACTAGAAGGAACAGAATTAAATAACTAAATGGGGCCACAGGGTTAAGATTCCCAGACTTTCCTCTTGGGGAAAACCAAGGTACAGACTGAGCAAAAGTGGAAGAAGCCACACCCCCAATGAGGCAACTGCCAGGGACAGGGGAGAGGATTCCACACAGACTCAACAAGTGTGGTTGTAAACCTGGGACTTTGGCAGATGGGGCTGGGAGCTAGTGGAGTTTGTAAACCAGGTTGGTGGTCAAGGGAGGTGGCAGGAGCTGTAAACAAAGGGGCAGTGATCTAAGGAGTAGGAAGGAAGGAGAGGGGCCTGTAAATAGAATGGGGGCAGGCTGCCCAGGATGAATGCTTAAATCATAAGAGCCCTCAAGGGGTGGTGGGGAATAAAGGAAGGCTGAAGGGAAAGCGTACTCTGCCCATGGAGATGGAGGAGGTGCTCCATCTCCCCTCACCAATCCCCGTGAGCTCTGTGCTCCTCCCTAGGACTTGATGCTCACTCTTGAATCACCTAGGGTGCACCAGCACGTTTGATGCATTCACACCAAGGAGCTTTGGTGAGTGTGGGAACTGGGTGACTAGCTCTGCCCCCATAAACAAGATGAAAACAAGTTGGGAGATGTCGGTTGCCCTTCCCTTCCAAGCTCATTTTCAGGGTCTCTTTGTTCTCAATCTTCTGGTTTCCAGGATCCTCAGTTCTGGGAAAGTGGAAGGTATAGACCCTATATTGGAAGAGGGTCACCTCCGGCAGGACTCATCTGTGGGGGAGGAGGCAATAACGATAGAGGATGAGTGAGGGCCTCTGCCACCCACCTTACCCCTTACTCTCCACACTGAAGGTAAGTCTTTATATCTTCCATGCTGAGTGCTTGCTACTACAGTGACAGCAGCCATCACTCAGTTAGCTTGCATTCTGTGCTAGGCATTCTTACAACCTGTTTAATCGCACAGTAACCTCAGATAGGTTAAGTAATTTAATGTCCAGCCATAGTTCCAAGGTCTTCATAAAAATTACTGAACCTTCTCAGTAAACCCCAGGAAGTGGTTATTTTTAACCCCATTTCATAATCAGTAAAAATAAGGCCAGAGTGCAGGTGATTTCCTGGAGATTACATCACAGGTAAGAGACAAGATGGAATTTAAACATAGCCCTGTCTGACTGAAACCTTGTGTTTTTAACCACACAAGAGCACTCAGAAAGAGTTCTGGTTTTGAAATCTGGAGATCCCTTGTGCATTTCACTTCCTAAGACCTTGCTTTCCCCATTTGTCAAGGTAGTAGGTGGGATTAGAGGTCATACCAAGTCTCTTTCCAGGAGCACTAACATTAATTCCTCTCCTTCCCTCCTAGACCGCAATGCCCTATAGGAACACCAGGGGGTACCCTCGGACCAGCAGAGCCTCAGCTCACCCACGATCAGGGCCTTGGTGCGAAGCCCGCCCTGGAGCTCCCGTTGTAGCAGCAACAACTCTTCCTCATCCTCATCCTCTTCGTCATTGGGTTGGGCCACTGGGGGGATGGGGGTACTGGGAGTCTCAGGCTCTGGGCCCAGCTCCTCCAGCACTGAACTTTCGGAGGGGTATTGGTACGTGGTTTCCAATGCTGTCTCGCTGAAGGAGATCTTGAGCTGAGAGGAGGAGAGAAACACAGGAAGCATGGAGTTCAGTGGGGGGGGGGGCTCCCAAGGGAGCACGTGCCAGGTGGACAGGGGAGCTGGACTTGGGCACCCTACTGACTTTGCTCTCCCTATCCACTCTGGGGCCCAGGGATGCAGTTTTCCTTTTTTCCCCTAAAGTTTTATTATTTTATTTACTAATTATTATATATAACATATAATATGTAATAAATAAATTATAAATAAATATTACTTATTATGCTTTTATTATTTGTTTATTTTGAGAGAGAGAGAATTTGAGGGAGAGGTAGAGAGAACCCCAAGTAGGATCCTTGCTGTCAGCATGGAGCCAGCATCTAGGGGGCTCAAACTCACCAACTGTGCGATCATAACCTGAGCCAAAACCAAGAGTCCAACGCTTAACTGACTGAGCCACCCAGACACCCCATCCAGTTTTCCTTTTGATACAGGCTCTCCAATCCCAGATTTCTCCTCTTCTATCATTTCCAAAATATCAAAATTTGGCTTGAACTTTGACACAGGTGCATAAATGAGTAGTATAGGACCCAGCTTCCTACTCTTCAGACTGTGGGTGGCAGAAGGGTAAAAAGAAATTAAATACATGGAGATAACTCCTGTGATCAGAACTGAATCTTTGGGTACCCTGAGGGCAATCAGGAAGGCTTCTCAGAGGAAGGAAGTTTGAGCTGGCAGGAAATAGGTGGCTGGAGGGAGTCCCAGGCAAAAGCAAGGACAAGCACACTGGTTTCTACACCCTCAGTCCCTTGGCTGTTCCTGAGAAACCCAGGACCCTGGACACCTGTGCCCTCCTGCTCCCCTCATTCCTCTCCTACAGCTGGAGTGAACCCACAACAAAGTGGGGCTGGGGCCTGGGAGGGAAAAAGAGACTCTCCTGAAAGGCCCAGAGGAAGTAAGACTCTCCCCTAACACAGAAAGGAGATGGGCCCTTGAACCCCTGCAGGGGACAGCTAGGGGAGGTGATGGGGCAGAGAGGAAAGTCCATGCAAACACAGGTTGGGGTGGAGAGTGCAGCAGGAGGAGCATGCAGAGGCAGAGGCAAAAAACCAGAAGGGACCTGAAGGGAGCAGAAAATCCTTCAAAAATGCACTGTCCCAAGAGCAGGCGAGCCCCAGATGTTCTCACTGCCTTTCTACCCTTCCCCTTTGCCCTTTTAAGAAGTTCAGGGGCAGGGGCAGAGTAGGATTAAGTCTGGGAACCAAAACGATTAAGGAGACAAACTGGAGGATTCGTATGAACTACTTGGGAAAATTCAGCTGATCTACTCAGGCCTTCCCAGGCGCCTGTTTGGGAAATTTGGGGTTTGGGTCCTGCATCCTTGAGTTTCCACATGGACTGGGGAGTGAAAAGAAAAACCAGGAGGGTGGCTGGACAGGTGGATGCTAAGTGCTGTACAGAATGGGCAACCTGGATCCCCATAGGAAGCTGGAACTCAGAGACTCCTTGGCTCCAAACCCTACATTGACTCCCCATCTCACTGGGAGGAAAAGCCAGAGCCTGACTAAGGCCCATAGAGTACTCCCACTGTGCCACTTCCCCCCTACCTCCCACTTCTCAGGCATCTATCTGCTCCCACTCCAACCACCCTGGTCATAGTTCCTGTAAGCCCACCAGGGGCACTCCCATCTCAGGGCCTTTGCACTGGTTATTCCTTCTGCCTGGAACACTCTTCCCCCCAATAGGCCCATAGCTCCCTCTCTCCCAATCACCCTATTTAAAGTTCATATTCACTCTCCCAACTTTATAGCTATCTATAAAGCTTACCCTGTTCTAATTTTTTCCACATAATCATTCGCCACCTCCTAACCTACCAGAGAATTTACTTGTTATTCTGTATCCACTGTCCATAGGAGCATGGAAGTTGCTATGGTGAGTAAGAGAGAGTTGGTTCAGACCTCAGATGTGGTCCCCACAGACAACCAACACTGGGGACCAGTGTGGGAGATACACAGTCTATCTGTGGAACTGCTGATAGAAATGCATGACAGCAACCAGACCCCTTTTATCCCAACTCATCAGAAGGACTGGTTCTGGTTCTGTTACTGACAGCTTTACCCAAACTTCTGGGAACCCATTTGTTTTCTTTTCATATCCCCTTTTGGGATAACAAGCTCCATGGTTTATTATCCACTCTGAAAAAGGATTCATTTTATTTGCTCTCAGTCATGTTTGTCTCTCTTCTCCAATCCTGCTTCTCTGCTCACCATCCCCCCATCCCTCCCCCCAACTTCTGACTGGGCTTCTCAGGAATGCACAGCCTCCATGGGAGTTTGGGGAGGGGTGTGTATAGAGGCGTGTGACTCACTTGCTCCTTTCCCATCGGCTATATAAAATCACAAGGGGGCCAAAGAAGGGAGGGACTCATCTCTCAGCTAGAAGGGACTCTAGGGAAGGGCACCAGCCACAGAACAGGGCTGGGATTTCTCTCCCATGGCAAATATGCATTTGATGGCCTTAGCTTCCAAACTAGAGTTATTTAGGGAAGGGGGGGGCGGTCCTCCAGTTCCAGAGCAAGTGGATTGGATCAGAGCTGGAACAAGCAAGTCAGTCCCTGCTGAGCAGGGTACAGAGAGAGGGAAGAAGGCCTGCGACAGGGTAGAGAGGGAGGTGTCTGGGTCTAGAAAACTCTATGCTGCCTCTTTCCACCCCCACCCTCCAAGCAGCCACTGGCTTCCTCATTCTCTCACCACATCCTGAGCAGTTCTGGCAGGCCTAGGGCCCAGCGGTTCCCCACTCAGCCCCACCAGCCTTCCGGCCCCCACCCCAGGCTTCCTGTTTGGGTGATCTGCTTCCGGCTTCCCTGCTCCCTAACCCAGGTATGGTCACCATCACAGGTCCTGTCCTGCACTCAAATGGTCCCCAGCTTTGGGCCCCGAATTTCATGCCTCCCTCTGCTCTTCCTCCCCAAATGCACAGGCTAACCTCTATAGAAAGTGACTTGTCCAAACACCTCACCCTGTCAGTTCCTGAGCTCCCTCCTAACATCTCCCCAGCCCAAAGGGGAAGGGGCTGGTAGCAGTCAGAGTACTCAGGATAGACTCAGGTACCATGGCTCAGGGAGGGGAGCTTGAGCTGCACATGAAGATGAATTTGGGATCAAGTGACCCACAAGCTTAATCTAGGATTTGTCAGTGGTTTCCCACTGACAAAGCACACACACATACGCATCCACAAAGACAAATCTGAGGATGGTAGATGAGATGACAACTGGAGACTAGGAAGGGCTTCCCAGTCTCTGGGGAGATGTGTTAGGTACAGTGACCTCTCTTTCCTTAGAGATTTTCAAGCTGGAAACTGACTGGTGTGTAAGGAAGGGGTTGGGCTAAAGCCAGGGCAAGAGGCCTGGCTGCTCCCACTTCCTGCACTTTGTCCTTTTTCCAGTTTAACCTCTGACCCTCTGCTGGCCTCAGCCTCCACCCCTGTCCCCAACTCCCATTGTATTCCCTGCTCTCAGCTCAGTGCCTCCAAATTCACTTCTCTCTTTTGCTACCCCAAAGGGAGGGAGAGGCCAGGGCAGCAGGAAGAGAGGGGAAAACCAACTGCTGAGCCAATTCTGGGGAGTGAGGGGAAGCCCAGGAAGGAAGGAAGAAGGGGAGGGGCGGGGGTATTTTGGAAGAAGAGAAGGCTTTTCTTGTCCCAAGACAGAAGGGAGCACTGTTTAAAGCAGTGGCCCAGCTGGGGGTGTGCAACCCTGAGGTCACCCACTTCAAATGGCCTCTGTGTGTGCCTCTCCCATGGAGCAGACTTGGGGTTCAAAAGTCTTCCCTTTGGCCAGCCTTATTCCATTTCCCCGCCCCCATCCCAGTTCATCCCCTTGCTCTCTCTGCCCCCTCTGCCTTGGGACTGAGAACTTCCTCCAATGACTTCTCCCTGCCATTTTCCCCTAGAACCACAAAGGCACCCCCTGTGTATCTTCAGGCTTCCTTGCCCTACATTCCCTGCCCTAGGAGGCTGTGTGTGCTTTCAACCTGAGGACCCTGCTCTCATAGATTCTAGGCTGTAGCCTCTGCTCAGGTCTCCACCTGATGGGTTCTGTCCCAGACTCAGAGAAAAGGAAGGAAAGAAATTGGGGGGCAGGGAGGGAGTCAGAGCCTGAAGGAAGGAAGAGTGAGCAGCCTGGGCACACCCTGAGAGAGACACACCCAGGGACAGCACTTGATTTGGGGCAGGATTCTTGGGCTTGGAAATGAATGGAAAAGGAGGGCAACAAGAAGGAAGGGTGTGTGTGCAGAGGAGGAAGGGAGGTGGCCGGAATTAGCACGAAAGAATAGAGGAAGACCAGAATACAGGGATATAAAAAGAAAGGAGTACAGAAAGAACTGATGAGCAAGCTTCTAAGAAGCCTGGCTTAGCTGCTCCCTACCTGTTTGTGGTGCCTTTCAGGGGACCCCTTGACAAGGCAGCTGCGGCTGAGACGGAGGTAGCCTCCCAGAACCAAGATCTCCTCAGCGGTTGGATACCGCTTCTTCCCAGCTCCAGCTCCGGGGACTGCAACATCAGCTGTGGCTGGGGTGGCCGGAGGAGTGGTAGAGGCTGCAGGGGGCAGGGACCGCCGAGGGTTGACTGTGAAGGTGTGTCCACTGCGGCGAGGGGCCCCCACCCCTGGCCCTGCCTTTACCCCATAGAACAGTCGGTTCATGAGGGGATCCCCAGGGGACTGGGGGGCAAGCGGGACTGGGGGTGGGGGAGATAAAGGGGCTGTTGGTGGGGGCCGTAGTTGCACTGCTTCCTCTTCCTGCTGTCTAGAGACTCCAGTCCCAGCGTCCTCTGGTGGGAAGGGGGAGGGCACAGAGCTGCAGTTCTGCAGGGTTCTCAGAGGCCTGCCCTGAGCCCCCGCCTTCTTCTCAGCCTCCCCTTCTCCAGCCTCTGTACCAAGGGGCCCCAAATACTTCTCAGCAGACTCTGGGGGGACTGGTTTCTGAATCTGAGTCTCTGTGTCCCTGGGTGTCCATTCTCGAACCTTGCCAGAGTTCAGGGTCCATTTCCATCCTTCTGTCAACCTCAGTCCCCTCTCACCATCCTCCACAGGGCTAGGCCTTTGTTCTGCTGCCTCCACTTCTCCAGACCTGCTGTCTGGAACCTCCCTAGTCAGGGTCTCTGACTGCTCTGTAATCTCTTCTGAGGCCAGCCTTGCAATTGGCCTCTCTTCTTTTCTCCCACATTCTTCTGAGCAGTCTTTTCTTTTTTCTAAGCTCAGCCTCCACTCTGATGTCTCCAGTTGTACCAAACTCTGTTCCTGAGACTCTCCAGAGTCAGGCCTCCATTTATGGGCCTCTGTCAGGCCCATCTTCTGGTTGTCAGACTCCACTGGGCTCAGTCTACTTTCCACTACCTCTTTTCTCCTTGGGCTTTGTTCTCCAGGCTCTGCCAGTCTCAGACTCCACTCTGGAGTTTCTCCAGGGCTCAGTCTCCATTTCCGTGCTTCTGACAGTCTGGAGCTCTTGTCTCCAGCCTCTCCTGGGCTCTGCCTCCAGTCCCAAGACTCTGAAGGCCTGGGGCTCGACTCTCGAGCTCCCCCTATCCTCTTCTCTCTGGCTTCCTTGGGACTGAGCCACTCTTCTCTCAACTCTCTTCCCTTGGGGCTCTGATCCCGCATCTCCCCAGGGCTGGGTCTCCGCTCTTGAGCCTCCAAAGTCCCAGGCCTTCTTTCTGCAAGTAGTTCTTCATTCCGCTGCTGCTGCTGCTGCTGCTGCTGGCGCTCCTGCCGAATGAATCGGTTCTGGTGCACTGGCCCAATGGCCTCTAGGAGGACAGCCGACTCGTCTGGGTCTGGAGGTCCAACCTCTGTAGTTCCAGGTGCAGGGCTAGGCTCCCCAGGAGACAGACCAAGCTTGGCCCGGCGGCGCTCCAGGAGTCCCCGCTTCCAGGCTGGCATCTGGGACAGACGCTCCCGCTCTGCCTTCTCCCGGCCACGAAGGGCTGCCTCCTCCTGTCGTCTCCGGGCTAGCAGCTGTAGCTTCCAGTCCGGGATGGTGGCCATGATCGCGTTGAGATGAGGGTGCGGAGCGCTGGGGCCAGAGAACAGGAAGAGGCTCCAGAGGCCTTGGGGTGAGACTGGGTATAGGGGGAGAGGAAGTAAAGGGGGAGATGAGGGACACAGAGATGGGCACAGGGGCTGAGGGGGAAGACAGAGGGAAAGAGAGAGAAGACGGAAGGCAGAGAAAGGAGAAAACACTGAGAAAGTAAAGAAGAAGCTGTGGACTAATTGGGGGTGGGGTCTTGGCGATGAGAGGAAGAGTGGAGATTCAGGGCAAAGAGGCAGAAGTCAGATTTGGTAATGTACAGTTAATCGTATCACAGACAGTCCCAAGGATGTGAGAGGAGAGAAGGGCAGAGAAAGAAGCTGACATGAGAGAGGAGAGAAAAAAGAGGCTGGGGGGGAGGGGAGGTTGGGGGAGTAGGGGTCAGGCGAGGTTCCCCCACCGCCACCCTAGAGGAGGTTAGAGTGGGAAGGGAGGTCAAGGAATCCCACCCGAGAAGGGGTGGTGGGACCTGAGAGGGTGTCGGGGAGGTGAGGAAGGGCGAGGTCTAGGGGAGAAAGAGGACTCCGGGGAGAGAGGGGAAATGGAGCTCCGCGGGAGCAGCGGGGCGCGTTTCAGCACGCGCCCGGGAGGTCCCGGCTTCCCTCCCAGCTCCGCTCCGGCCACGCCTCTCCGGCCCCCAGCCGCCACCCCTCCGCCCTGCACTCCGCCTCCAAGCAGGTCGCGGGGGGAAATACCCTCCCTTGGGGACTTTTGGAACCCTGGCGTCCACCCCCACCGTCCCGCCACCACCGCCTGCCTCTCCCACTGGCCGGCCCCAGGACCTTGGGTGCGGAGGACCGGCTCCACGACTCTGGTCTCCCGAGCCTGCGAGTCCTATGCCCGGGTCTCCGCTCTCACGGAACCCTGACATAGCCAGCCATCCCCGCCCAGCTCGGACAGCACAGACAGACAATCTCGGCACAAAGAGGAGACAGCCCAAGGTCCTGGCCGGGGACAGAAGCGGGAACGGGAGGAAGGAGACACCCCCTCCCCAAGTCTGAAGCCCCTCAGTCAACTCACTAGCCAGCGGGGCTCCCAGGGGAGGGGGTGCGGAGGAGACTGGCGTCCGGAGGGAGGAGGAGAGGAAGAGGAGGAGAGTGGGATTGAGGGAGATCCGGAGACGGGAGGGAGGGGAGGAGGAAAGGAAGGGAGGAGGAGGGAAGAGGGAGTCGTGGAGGAAGGACGGAGAAAGAGACCTGGGGGCCAGGCGGGGGACGGCGGCCGCTTTGTCTAAGGACAATGGGGAGAGGGAAGGGGGCGCGGGGCGGGGCCCGAGGGGGCGGGGCCTCGCTCCGGAGACCGGGTGTGGGACTAGATTCCCGGACTCCCCTTTTCCCGCCCCCAGACCCTGGCCATCTGCTCTCTGTCCTAAGGACCCCAAACCCTCCCCCCACTCCCAGTAACCCTGGAGAACCTAGGTGTTGAGACCCTCACCCCCAGCTCGCAGACCTAAGGCAGCGACCCGTGACTCAGGCCCCTCCAGGGACTTGGAGAGGAAGCAGCAGCTGCTGCGAGCCGGGCCCGCCCTTCCCATCTCCTGCAGCTCCTCCCCACGCTTTGGCCTCCCCCAGCCAGCTTTTGTTACTGAGGGGTCCAGGGCTACCACCAGGCTGCGGTGGGGTTGTGGAGAGCCGGGTTTGTGGAGAGCCGAAGGGCAGGAAAGGTGTTCAGAAGCCAACGGCTTTGGAAACTGGCTCCCCCACCAGAGCCGCTGCCCCACTCCAGCTTCATCCTGTCTCCCATGGGTTCCCCATGGGCTGCAATGGGGAAATTGGGAAATTTGGAGGGAGAAGGACTGGGGAGATGCGAGTGGGTCGACCGGAATGGCCGCCGCCCAGCTGTCGCCAGAGGGCGCGGTGGCTGCCCAGACTCGAGTTTGGCGTGCTTGCCTTCCATCCCCACAAGTCCCAAAGTCAGCCCTTTAGCTAAAGACACTGACAGACTACATGCCATATGTAGAAAAAACAGTATGAATTTTATTTTTCTGCTGCGCGTGTTCCTCGGGAGAACATAAGAGCGGAAGGATCCTCTCAACTAGGTTAGAGGACAGAGCCCAGGGGCAGAGCCTAAGGAGGCGGCTAGGCCAGCCAGTGGGGCAGGCACTACCATCAAACCTGCAGACCCTGCTCCTAGGAAGGGAAGCTGAAGGAGAAGGGGATCCCTGAGGCACACAATCAAGTAACAGTGGGAGGGAAGTGGTCAGGCCCACCCTTCTTCCTTTATAAGGAGGTCTTGGGGGTGGGGTGGGGAGCGGTGTGGATCAAGCCCTAAACTGTGAGAAGACATGTTTCCCACCCCCTTTTCCTGGCTGGTGAGATCTTGAAGTCCAGTGGTTGAAACTCAGAATTTAGGGTATGAGCTGGGCCCAAGGAGTGGAGGCTCAAAACGGGAAGGGACAGCCCTTTCAGTCCATAGACTTGGGCCTCTGGTCTGAAGCAGTCAGGACCTGTATGTTAAAGGAGAGGAAGTGCAGGGCTTGGAACCAGGTGAGCTCTTCACTCAGCCTCACCTTCCTGGGGCCGGGAGAGGAGGTTGAGTTTTCTTTGTAACTGAGCCCGGAGGTAGCGGAGGTCTTGCTGGTCAAGTCCGTGAGCCAGGCCCAGGTAGAGTGTAAGGAGGAGAGCAAGGAGGAGGCGGTCAGTGCCCAGGGTGGGCACCACCCACAGCACTGTCAGCAGCTCCACACAGACTGGGTGGCGCAAGTGGGAGAAGAGTCTCAGAGCCCGGGGAGACTTCAGGGCCAGAGGTTCACCCAGCCCCAGCACATGATAGTACACCTAGGAGGGAGAACAGCTTAGAAATGAAGTTAAGCCCTTTTTGCAACTTAGCCACCTCTTTCCTCCCCTTCGAGGAAACTTCCCTTTCTATAACTCAGGCCCAAGAACCACCCTTCTGAGACCTGACCTCCTGATTCTCATCTCTGGTTCATGAACCTTCCCTAGGCCCAGGAGGCCTATGGTTTCTGGCCTCTGAGGGAAAGTTGAGGGGAGACTGTCTTATAAGAAAAGGAGGTAGGTAAGGGAGTAGAAAGAGAAGGTGGAAGAGCATGGGAGGAGGAGGAAGGAAATCCTTGGAAGGGAAAGAGTCATTCTAGAGGGAATAAGAGGTCTCAGGTAGGAATCTGGGAGCCTCACCTGTTTGAGACCCATGAGCTCGGCGTAGTCAAAGACGAGAAGGATGCTGAAGATGAGGAGCCAGGATATGACGTGGAGCACAAAGCAGAGGAGGGGCACCCAGGTGGCCCATGGCTCAGCCCGAGCCTCCCACAACACAGGGCCTCTGGGTACAGGTTTCCAGTACTGCATCACCAGCTGGGAAAGGATGAGGGGCTGGGTATCTCAACAGCCTACCCTTTAAAGACCTAGACCCAGAGGTTGCCCCCACCCCAGGCTGGCCTGCAGTTCTCCCCACCTCTACCATAAGGATCATAAACAAATATTCACCATGTGGAGCATGCTAGGTGGGGTCCCAAGGATGTAAGGATAACCTGTATCTACCCTGAGGACTTAAGAGAACAGACGGGGGTGACCAGATAGATACGTAAAGAAGTCTATGACAAGGAAACACTGAGAAAACAAATGAGTACTAACTGGGAAGCCTCCTCTTGAGACCTCGGTAAGTGATTCTGAAGAAAGGGTAGGACTGAAAGAAGTGTCACCAAAGGGATCTCAAGCAGAACAACATGAACAAAGTTGCAAAGGTCAGAATGCACGTATGATGCTTGGGGAATGAAGAATGGTACACCATTCTTGATAAGGAGGATATGTGCTGTGGAGGAATGGAAGCTGAGATTAGAGTCCTAAACACCCTCAGTTCTCCTCCTAAATCCACATTTTATCAGAAGGCTAAGGTCCCTGCTCCTCCAATCGAGGACACCCTTCTCACAGATTGTTTCCTTTGGGGATCCAGTGGCCAAGGCCTCATACCTGCAAGGCTAGGGCAGTGCATGCCACGTACAGTGACCTCTGAAGGACCCCAAAATATCGAGACATCCACGCCTTCACTGTCTCAGTTGCCATAAGGCTGTGCTGCCCCACAAATAGTATCAGGAGACCCAGATCCCAAGCCAGGGGGGCAAGGATGCTGCAGTCCTGCAGGGCAGCCAGCCATCCTTGGCGGGCATCTAGGGGGAGTTGAAGTGGGGGACAAAAATCAAGAAAGTTGCAGGAAACACCCCCTACCCTAATCTCCTCTTGGGGTCCCAGGCCATGTCCTTTAATGCTTTCAAGAGCCTTAATGCTCCCTCTCCCGGCTTTTCCCATATTGGTTTTCCATTCTCTGCCCTTTCCCTTTTCCCCAGGCCTCCTTCAGAGTAGGGAGAAGGATTCCTTCAAAGTAGCCACAAAAGGCTTGGCTGGAGAGGCCAGGGTTGCACTGACCCTTTTGTTTTCGGTTCTCCAAATGCGTCCTCTTTTTAACACTCTCCTCTCCATAGTCCTCTCTACAAAAGCACTTTCCTTTCCTCTGCTTCTAATCGCCTTTTCCCTCTCCACTCAGTCCTAACTCTTCCGCCTCTCCAAACCGCTAATCCCTGAGTTCCTAATTTAGCCCTCCGGTCCACCCTGAAGCTTCTCAGGCTTTCACGGTTCTAGTTTCCTCTCCCGGACTTCCCCTGTCATTTGCCTCCAAGTCCCGCCCTCCTTCCCTCTCGTCCGGCTCCACCTCCAGCCCTAGAGCTCATCCTCGATCCCTCCCGCTCACCCGGACCACCAGGCTCCGGGAGCCCTCCAAGAAGTGGCCGAAGAGAGGTAAAGCGCACGAACTCCACTCCGGTGCCAAAGGCCAGGATGAAAGAGGCGAGGGCAGCAGGGACCAGGAGCAGAGCTGGGGCCATGGCGACACTCGGAGGGGTGGGGAAAGGGGCAGGAACGGGATTCCCGCGGCCGCAGGCCCCGCCCCCGGCCCCACCTTCCGCTGGGGGTTCCGCCCAGGAAGGCGGTGCTCCTTCGCGCTGCTGCCTGGGCGTCGGTTCCCTGCGCGCCTTTTTTCACACTGCCCCCGAGGGCGGGTCCGGGGCGCCTAGACCAAGCCTGTGGTCGCGGCGTCATAGAAGGGAATGTTAGAATTCTGAGAGACAAACCGAAAGGGTAGCTGCGCTGCAGCCACTCGTGTCGGCGGAGTCTCAGCTAGTTGTCTCATCTAAAATGAAGACAGTTCGTCACTTTCGGAGTTGTAGAAAACGAGAATTATGAGCCCCCTTTTCTGTAACCTTGGTCAGAAAACATAGCCAAAGTCAGAGGTTACAAAGCCTCGGTTAACACTTCAATAATAAACGGTGAGAGAACGGAAGACTGTTGATCAAGACTGAAAACCCAAAGCTCTGAATCAACTATTACATTTTGTTAAAAAGTTAGTGACTGTTTTACCATAAAATAAATTAATGTTTATTCTGTAACATTCTCTCCACTTGGCAATGACAGAGAATTTCTCTGTAACACAGATTATTTCTAATACTGTCAAAGGCTGTTGTTTTGTAATCATGAGAGTGACGATGTTAAAATAGCTGTGATAGAAAATTTTACGTGTTGTAAACTTTGTAGGTAGATTTTATCCCAGCTTGTGATAGTTATCTATGACTTTACTCTGCAAGCTCCTAAGTCTGACCCCATTGACTAGTCAGAAGGTCTTTTGTCTGAACATTTTCTTCTCTTTAAATTAGTTTGTAATACCTACAGTAGAATAACATATTTGAAAAGCAAAGTAAAAGTAAGGTTTCCCTCCATCTGAATTAAAGATCATGTGGCTAAGGACCTAGTCACAGTACCTATGACCATAACAGGGAATTTAGAACATCATTTAGTGAAATCCCTCAGCTTATAAACATAAGAAATTTACTAAGTATCCTAATTTGACTGTGTTGTCATTTCCTGCTAGGACCCTGACTGATAGAGATGTATTATTTGTGCTACTATAGTATTCATTGGAAGTATAAGAAAAGATCTCTATTCTCCAGAAGTTTAAACTGGGGCACTTCATTGTCACTAAGTCAGGGTGCACATGAGTGCTAAATGAGGGTATAGAGACAGCTAATACTGTCAGGCGTCCCATGGACCTCAAGGCCATAGACAGTTTCAAACAGTACAAGGTTCTGAGTTGTGCAAGGGGACTAATATTTAGGTCCTACTGTGCTGACGGCTCAGAGCCTCAAGTCTGCTTCAGATTCTGTGCCTCCCCATCCCCAAAGGCAAGGGAGTCAAGAGCAAAAATGAACTACTGGGACCTCATCAAGATAAAAAGCTTCTGCATGGCCAAGAAAACAATCCATAAAACTAACAGGCAACTGACGGAATGGGAAAAGATAGTTGCAAATGACATATCAGATAAAGGGCTAGTATCCAAAATCTATAAGGAACTCACCAAACTCCACACTCAAGAACCTAACAATCCAGTGAAGAAATGGGCAGAAGATATGAACAGACATTTCTCCAAAGAGGACATCCTGATGGCCAACAGACACATGAAACAATGCTCAGCGTCCCTCATCATCAGGGAAATACAAATCAAAACCTCACGCTGGTCAGAGTGGGTAAAATGAATAAATCAGGAAACTCTAGATGCTGGCAAGGATGTGGAGAAACGGGCACCCTCCTACACTGTTGGTGGGAATGTAAACTAGAGCAGCCCCTCTGGAAAACAGTATGGAGGTTCCTCAAAAAATTAACAATAGAACTCCCCTATGACCCAGCAGTAGCACTGCTAGGAATTGACCCAAAGGATACAGGAGTGCTGATGAATAGGGGCACATGTACCCCAATGTTCATAGCAGCACTCTCAACACTAGCCAAAACATGGAAAGAACCTAAGTGTCCATCAACTGATGAATGGATCAAGAAGATGTGGTTTATCTATACCATGGAATACTACATGGCAATGAGAAAAAATGAAATCTGGCCATGTGTAGCAACATGGATGGACCTTGAGGGTGTTATGCTGAGCGAAATAAGTCAGGCAGAGGACAGATACCATATGTTTGCACATATAGGATTAGGAGGAACTTAACAGAGGACCATGGGGGAGAAGAAGGGGGAAAATAGAGAGGGAGGGAGGCAAACCATGAGAGAGACTCTTGAATGCTGAGAACAAACAGGGCTGATGGGGGTGGGGGAGAGGGGAAGGGGGGAGATGGGCATAGAGGAGGGCACTTGTGGGGATGAGCACTGGGTGTTATATGGAAACCAACTTGACAATAAACTATTTAAGAAAAGAAAATTCTGGGGCACCTGGGTGGCTTAGTCGGTTAAGCGTCCGACTTTCGCTTAGGTCATGATCTCGCGGTTGTGGGTTTGGCCCCGCGTCGGGCTCTGTGCTGACTGCCAGCTCGGAGCCTGGAGCCTGTTTCAGTCTGTGACTCCCTCTCTCTGACCCTCCCCTGCTCATGCTGTCTCTCTCTCTCTCCTAGAAATAAATAAAAATATTAAAAAAAAAATTGCAAAAAAAATTGTCTCCCTCTCTGCCCCTCCCCCTCAAAAATAGACATAAAAAACATGTTTATATGTTTAAAAGTCAGCAAAACTCATGGTTTTTCTACTAAAGTTTTACCATTTTAAGTATAATTTACTTGCAGAAAAGCCACAAACTAATCATTCATCTTTTTTATTGAAGTGAAATTCACACAACATAAAAATAACTATTTTAAAGAGAACAATCCAGTGACATTTAATACAATTCATAATGTGTGCAATCACCATCTCTATCTAGTTCCAAAGCATTTTTATCATCCCTAAATAAAACCTTGTACCCATTAATCAGCCAATCCCCATTTCCCCCTTCTCCCAGGTCCTGACAACCACTACCCTATTCTGTCTCTATGAATTTATCTATTTCAGGTATTTCATGTAGGTGGAATCATCCAAGGTGACTTCTTGTGTCTGGCTTCTTTCACTTAGTATAATGCTTTTGAGGTTCATCCTAAAACATTGTAGCAAGCATCAGTACTTCAACTCCTTTTATGGGTGAATATTATTGCATTGTATGGATATACCACATTTGTTTATTCTCCTGTTAATGAACATTTTCTTTTCACCTTTGGTCCTTGTGAAATATAGATATGAGCATCTATGTACAAGTATTTGTTTCAACACTTATTTTAATTCTTTTGGGTGTATACCTACTAGTGGAATTACTGGGTCATTTGGTAATTCTAATTCTAATTTTTTAGAAACTGTCAGACTGTTTACCACAGAGGCTGAACCATTTTATATTCCCACCAGCAATGTAAGATAAGGGTTCCAATTTTTCCACATCACTGAAATCAACCAACTTTTAAACTTTAAATTTAAGGGGCACCTGGATGGCTCAGTTGGTGGAGAATGGAACTCTTGATCTTGGGGTTCTGAGTTCAAGCCCCATGGTGAATGTAGAGCTTAAAGACAAAAATAAACAAATACATAAATAAAATTTAAATGTGAGATGTTTTAAAAAAAACCCTGCACTACACCATAAGGCACAGAGTGAATATTTATTTATCACAGAGATTAAACCTAAGCTCTAATTTTATAAATACTGGAAAAGCAGGCCAGAAATGTGCAAAGATTTGCTCAAAGTCAAAGCTAAAGAACACTTCTAACAAGATGAGGTGAGGAGAACGGAAAATATTTTAGTAGCATTCCATACCTCCAACCTCAAATTTACTCACTCTAAGCATCCCTTCAAGTTCTTGACACTAATTGTTTCTACTATCTTTCAGAGGATGAGTCAGAATCCAAGTCAAAGAGGGAAAGAGATGACTTCCAAACAGGAGGGAGGACACCTGTGTGTGCCACACAGCAGTAAGTATGTCAATCCTGCTAAGAGCAGCCACTTATGATAACTGAGTATGGGTTTACCTGACTCTAAGTAGCCATTTAAGAAATCTGTGGCTCGAAACCTCATTATCTTTTTGTTTACCCATAAGTCTTTTCATCTCCACCCATGTTCCAAGACAAATCAGGTCAGTATACCCCAATCCTTTCTAAAGCCCTAGGTTTTTTCTTTCAAATATTTTCTAACATTTTATTTACTGGCCTGGGAGGGAAAAGAGTAAGTACTGTGGTGATGTTTTCATGAGGATGACATTTCCAAAGTGGAGAGGATGAAGGCCTCTGGCTTGGCTTCCTGCTTCAGCACTCCTGTCAGCAGGAACTCAGGTGAGAGGATGGGCAACCCAACCCGAAATGGAATAGAGCATCGATGGAAGTCCTGGGAGCATGTAATCACAACCCGCTGAGGCTGGGGAAAGACAGAGAGCAAAGACAAAGTCAGGGGTGAAAAAGTATCCTTGAAATAGGTTTGGAATCCACTAATCAGTTTCAGCAGTAGACCTTCTGATATGAAGCACACTTGCCACAAGTACTCGTCCCAGAAAAGCTGAACCTGAATTTATTTAAGCCTTTAAAATTAACTACAATTTAAAAGGAATGTAAAAGATGGAAGAAGAAGATAAATGACATAGCAAAGGAGCAAACAGAAAAACCCAGACTGGAACATTCTAAACAACTGACCTAGTTTCTGCAGGAAGTCAATGGAATAAGAAAGGCTGCATGGGTAAGGGGGATCTTCTAGAGTAAAAGAGAATTAAAAGATATGCAATTGTGAGGGGTGCCTGGGTGGCTCAGTAGGTTAAGTGACTGATTTCAGCTCAAGTCATGATTTCAGGGGTGATGAGATAGAGCCCCGAGTTGGGGCTCTGTGCTGTCAGGGAGGGGCCTGCTTGGAATCCTCTCTCCCTCTCTCTCTGTTTGCCGCTTCCCTGCTCACATGTGCAAGCACACTCTCTCTCAAAAGTAAATAAACAGGGGCGCCTGGGTGGCTCAGTCGGTTAAGCCTACGACTTTGGCTCAGGTCATGATCTCACAGTTCGTGGGTTTGAGCCCCACCTCAGGTTCTGTGTTGACAGCTCAGAGCCTGGAGCCAGCTTCAGATTCTCTCTCTCTCTCTCTCTCCCTCTCTCTCTCTCTCTCTCTCTCTCTCTCTCTCTCAAAAATAAATTTAAAGAAAA